TCTAGGATATGCTATTTTTCCAACATAAAATCTTGAGTCCTAGCATTTACATTAGCAAGAACTAGTACTGGGATTGATTTTATAGAGATCAGAAGACGTAGTAGTAGCAGAAGAACCAATCCATGGTGCATCTGATGATGAAGGAATAAGGCTCTGAGTTTGACTTAGATTCTGTGATGAATTGTGATCAAACTGTTTTGTCAAGGCTGTTAACCTCAGTTCATCACCGTAAGTACTTGGATCCGTGACCAATTCATGAACAGCCGTACGCCCTTCAAGCATACTCACTACTGCAGACATGGTAGGCCTAAGCGCTGGTGCTGCATTGATGCATAAGAGAGCAACTTTAATCATCCTAATGACCTTCTCCTCACTCACATCGGACCCCAACCTTGGATCCACCAGCTCCAATAATTCCCCTTTTTGTTGTAAAACAAGAGCCTGAAAATTTAGCAGAGAAAAGAGATTTGAAAATGGAAAAGCAACTCATAGAAGGAAAGAAGGATGACCAAGTTGGAAGGAATTTGAATGAACATCCATCTTACCCAATCCACAAGGCATACAAAGTTCTCATTTGGTCGATATTTCATGTTGCTCTTTCCAGCAACAATTTCCAATGTAACAACACCAAAGCTGTAGACATCTGCTTTGTCGGTCAAATAACCCCATAGTGCATATTCTGGCGCCATATATCCTCTGCACACAAAAAACGATTGTTTTCCTTAGTTGGGTGGAGAAAAGTTCATAAACAAAACTAGGCTCTGAAATGCAGTTCAGAGAAAAAAACAGTATAGCTTACATAGTTCCAGCAACTCTAGTGCTAATGTGGGTGTTCTCCTCTTCGTCAAGCTTGGCCAACCCGAAGTCCGAGATCTTGGAGTTAAGGTCTCGGTCTAGTAATATATTTGTAGTTTTAATGTCTCTATGTACAATCTTCAGTGCTGATTCCTCATGCAAAAAAGCCAGACCTCTTGCTATGCCTATGCATATATTCTGCCTTGTAGGCCAGTCCAATTTTAAAGGACTTTCCTCCGGAACTGCAACAAACATGGATTCCCAATCAATGATCTCATTTTTGTTTTTCTTAATACACCATTTCAGTTTTTTGTCACTGGACTTGATAAGCTTACCGAACAAAGCACGTGCAAGGCTGTTGTTTTCCATGTATTCATATACCAACAGTAACTGGTTTGATTCAATACAGCATCCATACAATCTAACAAGATTTGGATGTTGTAAACCAGAAATCATGCCTATTTCATTCACAAATTCCCGATTTCCTTGCTTTGATTTGGATGATAGTTGCTTAACTGCAATTATAGTACCATCCAATAATATACCCTGAAATGAATACAGTTTAGTAGTTTTCAAGAGTGATAAGTATAGGCCTATAAGTAAGGAACTAGTTATATGGTACCTTGTAGACAGATCCAAAACCGCCTTCCCCGATTTTGTTTATAGGATCAAAGTTATTAGTGGCGGCTTTAATTTGCTTGAAGGTGAAAAAACCAGTTTGCAGATCCAGTCCTCTCAGAGCTGTCCACAAACAAGGTTAGAATATATTGGTAATGTCGTTGAACTTAGTATCCAGGTATGTGTTTTCTAGCTACATGGCATTAGAAAGAATGAGACCAAAGTACTACTTGAAATTTTCACAGTAACTTAGTGGTACCTTTTTCCCTAGATATCTTGCTATCCAGACAACCTTTCCACCAAAGAATGCCGAAAATCAAGAAAATGAGGAACAAGACCGAAGCTCCAACTGAAGCTCCCACTACAATAGGTACCTTGCTTCCATGAGGAGGCTTGAACTCTAGCAAGTAAAAAAGTGAAAAGAAAAGATCAGCAACAGAGAATACAAGTTTCAGTTCTATGAGATGCCATCATAAGTCCGGTATATCAATTCATAACAGTATCTTGTAGGATGTTGTAAAGACCAAACTGAGCTAGAAAGGTCGAAAAGAAAGAGATAAATTTGCACAGTTTCTTGTTATTTAAGGTAAACAAACTTTCCATCTGGGTACTTCCATTAGTATACTGTACTTCCATTAGTACATCAAGTACAGTACACTTCCATTAGTATACTGTACTTGATGTACTATATATTTTCCAATCTATTGCAATTAACATACTTGTATTTTTGGTACAAACAAGTGGGATATAATAAATTTTTTAAACAAATCTAAGATTGTGTCCATGAGAGAGAGTTCATGTTTCCAATTCAGAATATACCAGGCTCTATAGAGATAGCAGATATAAGAGGACCATATGTTCCTCTCATTGGAGAAGCTGTTGTCCCTTTCCCAGACCAATGAAATCGGATCTCTAAAGTTTTATTCTTAACCTCAACTGCTTTATGTTCCTTAATGAGTTCTTTATCAACACCGTGTGCTTCCTTTTTAATTTCAAAATCCTTCCACACCAGTTTCTCCTGTAACAAACTTATCAATCAGAAATCATATTTTGTTGCATGTATTGTACAAACAGTATGCTTGACTACCTGAATATAAATATCAAATATCCGTCTTCCAACACTACGAAAAGATCTATTCCCTCTGATTGTTATCTCCGAGAAGTGAAGTTTCACGGTATAATTGCCATTTCGAAAGCAGCGTGCATAATACGTGAGAGAAAGAGGACTGATGCGTGCATTTGTGTACAACTCAGAGTTGTTCATTCTAAGTATAGATATATTATTTGCAATGTAGTTTTTAGCAGTGGAGTTAGTATCCCAGAAAATTCCAGTGCTACTGGTTCCCCAGATAGTTCTCAGAGGAACGAATTTTGCTGCACCTCCTAGGTCTTGATCATCTTCAAAGGTGACTCCTTTAATGGTGGTTTGTTTTCCACCACAATTTATATGCAACACGTACTGATCTGTTCAGTAGCAAGCAACAGAGAAATGACATCATAAAAATTCTAATCAGATGAAGTCAAATATTTGACTACATAAAAAACAAATTAGAAATTATTGGATTGATTGTAAACCAATTTCTGTGATTGTCACATGAACTTTAAATTATGAACTAATTCTTTTACAAGAACTTTAAAATATTAAATAATTAAAAAAGCAAAGCCCAGTTGTATTGTATTGTTACCTTCTTCTGGACATTGAAGGTTCCTCCAGCACTCTCCAAATGATCTACATTAGGGTGGTACACAATCAGCTGATGCAAATTTAAAGTCCAGAATATGTGGAAAGGGAAAAAATGGCTTCACCAATGAAGATTAAAAGTTTAGAAGCTTACAAGTTTCTTTGTGCAGAAAAGCTTTCAAACAGGTTTCTGATAAATATTTCAAAGAAAAAAGCATTATTATAGGTGAATGAAGACACCAAAGTGTGCTAAATAATCACTAACTAGAAATATGTTCCTACAGGGTTTCTCGGCAAGTCTCAGAGCTCTCAGAAAAATTATTGTAAGAAATATCTGTCAGGCTGCATACAATACAATAAAATTGTAAGTCCGAACAGCTCCACCAGAAAAGTTGCATTTTGGAGTATCAATAAAAATTGTAAATATGGTTAAAGGATCAATTCCACAACAGAAAATCCTAAAAGTTGATCATTTAAAATTTTAAATGTTTCAAACAGTTAAGATAGATTGTATGTGACTGCCTAGGACCTCTAACTATATTCTCTGCGTAAATGTTACGCTAATGTAAAAGTATATATTTCCGCAGGCTTCAATAAGAAAATAAAACTCAAGAAATTCTGTATAGGATGGAAAACATACTAGCTACTATCTCTGCCCTGCACCCAGTCTGGAACAGAGCCGGTGAGCCAGTTGCTTGTTAGATACCTATCAAATGCATAATGACATTATGTAAAATATATGTAAATATAATATAGAGTTGTAATTTAATATATGTAAATATCATATAGGCAGGGGAGGCCGCCCCGCCATGCATTATGATGTCTGCTAGTGGCCTTCATGAAATTCACAGTTCTTACAAGTACTTCGCGTTTTTCAGATTTTCGTAGTCAGAGGTATTAATATTTCCTTCCAATTTGTTGAAGCTGAGATCTCTGCAAGAAATCAACTAAAAAGATTGTCATAACTCATAAGATCCCAAAGTTCCATTACTTGGAAGCATAAATGAACGAAAAAACTATCATTAATCAACTTGTGCTGTGCATTTGAACAAGATGAAAAACAAAGAATAACAGTGTTACATTTTGTTCCATTTTTGCATTTGTGATAAATATGCAGGGATAGGTCCATATAAATTGCAGCTCCTCAGCATTCTGCAACATAACTTCGTATTATTAGCCTGACTCAGCTAAGAGTCTTACATTACAACATGAAAATGTAGAACAGTTTCAAGACGTACAAGTCTTTCATGCCCATTATATTACTCAAGTTTGGAAATTTTGAACCCCCTCCATTTAAGTCACTGAACCTTCTGCATTGAATTTCACCATGAATCATTGTAAGAAAAACAAGTCACTGTGGTATGAAGTTATCATAAAATTTTCAAATCAGGATTAAGGTTCTTTAGTGTTAATGCAACGCAGAACTCACAGTTCTGTTAAATTTCTCAAGACAGAAATGCTAGACGGAATGGGCCCACTGAGACCACTAGCTTGGATCTCTCTGTTAACAACAAAATTCAAAATCAATCAAGATTACACAAGAAGAGTTGTTAGAATATGTTATAGGAAAAGGCACTTACAATTTCTCAAGTTGTTTAAAATTTTCCAAATAATCAGGTATTCTTCCCGTGAAGTTGTTACTGCTAATCCTACTGCATGAAGGGAAAGATTGAAAAACATAAAGCTGAAGATTACCAAACATGAAAAACAATGTTAAGGTTACAAACACTTACAATTCTTTTAATTTAGTCAGATTAGTGAAAGCCATTGGCAATTCTCCTGTGAGATTGTTTGCACTGAGAATGCTGCAGATAACAAGGCCAGTCTTAATAACTTATCCACTGCAACTTGCTTTACCATTAATATTAAAAAGAAACTGTGGATGCAAAAGAAAAAGGGAGCTTACAAAATCTCCAAGTTAACCAAATTCCCAAGCTCAGGAGGAACAGTTCCAGAAAACAGATTAGTCTCCAAGTTCCTGGAATTAAATTCTTCGTCACAGCAGGCTAACCAAAATGAAACTTAAAGTTGATTTGACAAATAAAAAAGAGTGGTCAAGAGAGATAGAGGCAGAGCATACAGATTGATTAGAGTGGTAATGTTCCCCAAGTAGCGAGGGATTTGTCCTGATAAGTTGTTCACATTCACGGACCTGCATGCAGTTTCCTCATTTTCTTAGTAAAATTAATAAAAGCAATTAGAATTGGCTAACCTTGAACTTGAAGGTCAGAAGTCATTTTACAGAAGTTCCAACTTTGTAGAAGCCCATTCAGGCGGTATAGTACCACTGAGGTAGTTCCTGGTGAAATCACTGTAAAAAAGATAAAATTAAAATAAAATTATACTATTTTTAAGGTTTGCAGATTATAAACTGAGAAAGGTTTCCCTTACACTTGTGTTATGTAGGGCAACTTTGCAACAGATGGTGGAAGTACACCAGCAAGATCTTGCCCTTTAAGAAAACTGTATAACAAAAATGTTCAGCGCTCATAAACTTCAAATGTAATTCACCCAAAGAACAAAAAGAAAAATCAAATCAAATCTCTTGCATGCTATAGTTGAGCAGACTATTCTGCAAACACAATGTTCCACCCCTAAATTACTCTAATGTACGTGAAAGGGGGATTCGAACTTAAGTGCAAAAAGGATGGGCTCACTACCCTGGCCAACTGACGGAACCCACAACTGTGCCAAATTAGATTAAGGTGTATAATGAACAAGAAAAGGGAAATTAAATTCATATATAAACGAACAGAAAACGTATAAATAAGTAAGCTTTGAGTGACGTACATGCTGACAACGTGGCAAAACCCGTCGCCGTCGGGATAGGAGCAGTTGCATTCGAGGGTGTTGTTGTAGAGAGGGTTGGCAGGAGATTTTGGGGTATCCCAGTTTGTGTAATTGTTGCATGGGTTTATGTTGAAGTTCCAGTCCGATTTCCCCACTTGTTTTGCTATTTCTTCTAGTGCTTCCTCTGCGCATGCAAATCAAACCCATGATTATATAATTGAATATTTTCCACCATAATCAACTCAAATAACATTGATTATATCCTGTTTGTTTAATTAACCCAGGATTATCAAAGATGATATCCAAACAATTTGTGACATATGGTAATACCAACTAGGAGGTTATATTGGATATAGGCCTTCAATTATGAGTGCGTAGGCCTGATACTGGGCCAACTTGGGCTAGTCCCAAAAAAGTGACCAGGTTTATTTTTCATTTTTAAAGAAAAGTAGCGTGACTGGGCTTGGGCCTTCTGCCACCCACCATTCTAATCTAGTAAACCTCTCCAGAAGATACAGATCATGCTCTGTATCTCTCTCAATCATTGAATTTCATATCCATTTCCAGTTGTAATGATGAAAGAAAATTCAGGTCCAACTCTTTAGCTTCTTTCATTTCGTTTTCGATTATAAAGTTGTAACCATTATGCTTTTAAATCAATATAAATTTAAAATCTTTTTTGTATGTTTATATCTATCTAACCAACATGTAAAATTATATGGGTTCTAATTTTTGTTTATGCTGACAAACATTGAACTGGGAGTGCTCTAATTTTTGAGTATCAGCAATACCAACTTGAAAAAACATTCAGAAGAAGAAGAGAGATTGTGCTTCAACTTTGACTCTGGATATGCAGAAGCAGAGGACCAACATGGCTACCAAAATGACAAGGTCCAGTGTGGCTTTTGAAACATCGAAATGAAATCTTGCCATATCAATCCCTGATGTGATATATCAATTCCCTGATACATGTATTGTCCTTATTCTTTCTTGGCTCAATCTCAGTCTCAGTCTCAATCTCTGTTGTTAATGAATGGGTCCCTCTGACCCATGAAAAGTTTTTCGAATCTTTTTTTGGTACGTGAAATTTGATAACGTGGACCTTTTGATTAGTCAGGATTTTTTTTTGTCGGGACCCATGAAAAGTTTTTCGAATCTTTTTTGGGTACGTGAAATTTGACAATTAAATTCGATATCACAAAACGTTTTTCAGGTTCACAAAACTATCATATTGAGTTCTCTTTTTTTTTTTGTCATTCATGGTCCTTAAAATTAATATGTGTGTTCACAAATAGTCCATGCCTTCAGGTTCCATTAAAAACTTCGTTAGTTTACTGATGTGGCATATATGTGGAATCTACATATCTAATAATATAGTGCTACATGTATTTCAAATACAATATATATAATTTTTTAAATAATTTAAAATTTAAAATTCATAAAAATGAAAAATGAAAAAGAAAAAACCAAAAGAAAAGTTGTATTTTAAAATTTAAATTATTTTTAACAAATATATATTGTATTTTAAATACATATGGCACTATATTATTGGATATGTGGGCTCTACATATATGTCACATCAACAAACCAGCAGAGTTTTCGATAGAATGACTATTTGTGAGCACACATATTAACCTTGAGAATCACGAAAAAAAAAAAAAAAAAAAAAAAAAAAAAAAAAAAACTGATAGTTTCGTGAACCTCAGAGACGTTTTGTGATTTAAAAAAAAAAATATTATAAAATCTGAGGGCCTGTTTGGTATTCAACTTGAAACCAACTTTTTAAACTCAAAAACAGAATTTGAGTCCAAAACAACAAAAAAACCTATTTGGTAGCCATATTTTTAAAAACTCAAACTTAAGAACAGCTAAAAGACACCCCAATTATTAAAAACAAAAAATATCTGTTTTTTCAATTATTTTCTAACAACCCACAAAATTTTAAGATTTGAAAACAGTTTTCAAGTTGCATACCAAACAAGTTTTTGAATCTTAAAAATAGATTTAAGAACTCCTTGTTTTTAAGAAAAATTAAACTTTTTGAGTTTCCTATTTAAATAAGATACCAAACGCCCCCTGACTTTCCTAGTGATTACTATTAACATATGAGTATTTGAATTATTCCCTAATTCTGTTGCATTTACTAACATATAAGAATAAAACTTGTATGAATTTCACATTAAAAATACAATCCAATACCTAAAAAGAAACTAGATTGATTGAATGGTAGTTAGTTGATCTCATGCACATATTCATTCTTTTACTTATTCCTTAGTTCCTTTATTCAAAATAATTGAACACGTTATAACGAGAGTTTCATGTTGTAAATTGAACAATAGTTGAGAAAACAACCTTTGAATATGAAGAAATTCTTAATGTGTGTGTGTGTGTGTGTGTGAGAGAGAGAGAGAGAGAGCATCAAATTCAAATGGGTTATGTATTTTAATTTTTGTAAGCTTGATATCAATGGATGAGATGAAACGTGTTAGTAAAGGAAGAAAACAACCTTTGAATATAAAGAAATTCTTAGTGTGAGAGAGAGAGAGAGAGAGCATCAAATTCAAATGGGTTATGTATTTTAATTTTTGTAACGGTTGATAACAATGGATGAGATTAAACGTGTTAGTAAGTGTAAAATAATAATAATAATAAAATATAAAGAAGAGGTTGGTTTGATTTAGTTTAGAGGGTTTCAAAAAGGTCAAAACAAACCACACGAAACTAATTGTGGTTTGGTTTGATTCCTTCAGTCCAAAATTACAATTTTTTAGTGAAAAAATAAAAACTGTGGCATACTGCCGCTAAAACTTGATTGAAGTGAGGCTTGAGTGAATGCATGGATATTAGTATTACCAATATATACAAACTTAAACAAGAAGATTAGTAAGTTACCTTCGGCAGCAGGCAAACGCGAAGCTCGTGCTTCAACTTCGATTGATTTGGTGCATAAGCAGAGAACCAAAATGAGCATAATAAGGTTCATGATGTTTTTTGGAGCAATACAATTAAATCCTATTGCCATTTATCCTTGATACACTAAAATGGTAAGAAAACTCTCTCAGAATTTCTCTCTCGCTTTATCTCATCCACACTCTTCTTTATTACTCGGGCTTGTACAATGCACACAAACCATTACCTATTTATAGGCAAGGAGTACCTGACCCTTCAGTGAGATTGCCCTCGCATAATGCATCCCATTATTATGTTGAAGAATATGAGTCTTATATCGGAAACTTGACTAAATAAAATACAAAATATAATGAATGGTTCTACTACTAATAATACCGAGGCCTTTTGTGATAAAACCCAGCACCTACTGGACTTTATAGGTGGTTAAGTTGAGGACAATATCAATGTTGTTAGTAGTGGGACGTTAGCCCGTCTTTTTGAATTAAACATGGTATCAGAATGGGTCGATTGCCCTTACCCAATATGTGGTGTTTACATGTTGGGCTTGAATGTTTACCCCTACCCTTTACCCAATACGTGGTGCTCACGTGTTAGGCTTGAATGATTGACTCCGATGTGGATTGGAAGTTAATCTTGAAGAGTGAATAAGATGACGATATGGAATAGGACTTTTATAGAATCAAATCTGATTAGGCAAGATATTGATATCTTGGCTTTATGATTTTTCTCTTGCAAGATAACATATAAAGCAAAGGTGTGCATCTCCTTGTTTGTACAACTTTTACATGTTTTGATTGATCATCTAAATTTCTCTAGAAAAGCTTATGTGTATATAGTTGTGATAAGTCATCAAGTGTTCCATGTTTACATGGTGATTTATCAAACACTTTTATCATTCATATTGCATTCATTTGCATGTTATGTGACTCATACGATTGAGGGCACCAAAACCGTGGTGGAGGTTTTTCTCCGGCGAGCTTGAAGCAATCGTGACCAGTATTGCGTTTAACATAAAAAGTGTGGAAAGATCATCCCGTGACAGAAGTTGAGTTACGAAGAAGTCGGTAAACATTATTTAGAATATGTTTAGGATAATTGTGTGAGTACTTCTTGTAATCATCGTTCTATAGTAGATTTATTTTGGACTGAGGAGTCCCGTGGATTTTCCCTAGAGGTGGGGTTTTACTATGTAAAATAATTTTCTACGTGTTCTTTTATTTTATGTTTAGCACGTTTTAGGGTTGATAAGCCATATCAATCATGCTACCAAAGTTTATTTTTTGTTAATTGATTATAATTTTAAATTGGCCTATTCACCCCCCTCTAGACATTTTTAGTCATCCTACAGGTAATTTCAGTAAACGTACGCAAAACTTTGATGCAAACATATAAACGAGCATGACATCCATGAGAAGAGATTCTATCAAGAAAGCACGAAAAGATAAGATATCAGTAACCTTCTCAGATGTGTATGTTCATCTTCTCCCAACAGAAAATCAAAGAACGTGAGAATCAGGACTAGGAGGTTGAGATTTTTTTTTTATGGGGTTAGTTATTTATATCATCCACTCAAAAGTCTCATACAATATAACATTTAATGAAATACCTCAAACTTGGTAAGTAATTGAATACCACCAGATTTTAATTCATTACATAAGATTCCTAATTGAATACCACTGGACTTTTAAGCTTTAAAACAATCTATTAAAATCCTAATTTAATACACCCCATTAATTTTTTTAATTAAAATTTATTCTTAATCATTTAGCAGTTGCCAAAAAAAGAAACTATTCCTAATCATTAAGCTTGAGGAACCTCATGGAAGAGGTTGTCAAAATAGATGGTAGTGTATGCTTGATTATTTTCAGGGGGGGCTCTTAATTGGAGTTCTCCTGACCTCCATATGAAGATCCATTTGTAAGTATACATTTTGAGTGTCGTTACTTTGCATCTCTTCAATGGAGCCAACACTATTGCATTTTATTTGTCTACTTCAAGCCATTGAGGATCCTCTTGGTTACGGATAAAAAGCAGCAACAAAAAAACAAAAAGTCATAGCAACTATGACTAAGATCGCCAACGAAAAATAACCGTTTGAGACAGTGAAAATAATAGGTTAAAAAAAAAAGAAATACAAAAAGTTTTTCTAAAGGTCAAAAATGGTATTAGAGAATTATAACAGTTATGTTAGTACGAAAATGTTGCATTACATGCTGTGGGGGAAAAATTCTAAAATAAAATCAAGAGAATGAAATTTTCCCTATATGGGAGTCC